AGATATAAAAGTAATCAAATATTGGTGTGACTCAAACCTACTTTCTCTCAACCGCTCTCAACATTAGGAAAACCAATATTCTGACTTTTCATTGTAATGTCCCAAACTTGGAAATCGGTAATGACATATTAGAAAATAGAACATCAACAAGATCTTTAGGTTTGCATATCGATAACAAGTTGATGTTCAATGACCATGTAATATCTATCGGGTGGTCACAAAAAACCGGAAGTTTTTATTTTCCTCGTGGTTTCATCATTACTCAACCGAATTCGAATTTCTTGGCGTCGTTTCATAGCTAAAGGGCTATTGTATACAGTGGAATATTCGAAAATTCCATAATGAACAAAAACAAAATGGCGGATTCTACCAAAGTATTGTCATTTACAAAAACCGCTGGAGAAAAATAATATCAGATTTTTTCCAACCTGTACCGATGTCATCTTAGGCTATTCATTTCTGAAGAGAATGAGTACTCGAACATCGAAATCGAACAAATAGTTCAGTAGATACACTCATTTCTTTGCAATTTGTTATGGAGTGAATGTGCGAATCTCGTATAAACGATTATTATTATTTTGCTTCAGGCTTCATAAAAATTCAATCGAATTTGGATTTCTTGGAGTTTTTCCGAAGATAAAGAACTGTAGTACATAATGGAACATTTGAAAATCCAATAATTGAAAGAAACAAAATGGTGGAGAATCCAGAATTTTTGTGATTTTCAAAAATCTCTGGCGAATAAAAAAATGTTTATTCTTCCAATCAGGACCGATACAATTTTTAAATCATTGATTTCTAAAAAGAATGAGCACTCGAACATCTGAATCGAATGTGCCAATCCCGTGATAAGAATTACTTTTAGTTTGCTTCTGGCTTTATCAGAATTCGATCGAATTTCGATTTCACTCCATGACACTTTGCCAAAAAGAACGTGTTTCTCCTGGACTAATTGTTCGATTCAGATGTTCGAGTGCTCATTCTTTTCAGAAATCAATGATCTAAAACTGTATCGGTCCTGATTGGAAGAATAACCATTTTTTTATTCGCCAGAGATTTTTGAAAATCACAAAAATTCTGGATTCTCCACCATTTTGTTTCTTTCAATTATTGGATTTTCAAATGTTCCATTATGTACTACAGTTCTTTATCTTTGGAAAAACTTCAAGAAATCCAAATTCGATTGAATTTTTATGAAGCCTGAAGCAAAATAATAATAATCGTTCATACGAGATTCGCACATTCACTCCATAACAAATTGCAAAGAAATGAATGTATCTACTGGACTATTTGTTCGATTTCGATGTTCGAGTACTCATTCTCTTCAGAAATGAATAGCCTAAGATGACATCGGTACAGGTTGGAAAAAATCTGATTTTCTTTTTCTCTTATCTTTTTTCAATACAAATTGTCACTGACGAGCTAGTGAATTTTCATTGTAGGCTCTCTGATAGGAAAATTCTTTAAAAGTAGTGACATTTCGAGGAAAATCATGTGATTTGTCCTAACTACACGTATATTGAAATGAATTCATATTTTCATTTTAGAGAGACGACAAAAGAAAACCCCAAAAATCTGGAATAATGAAGAAACTAAATCACTTGAAGAAGCGATTCTTTCGTGTCAATGAGTGAATGTTTGGCAGAATTTCTCGGTTTTGTGGAAATTATGATTACATAAAAATGTCTTCAGTTTTTTTTTTCACCAACTTTCTCCACTTCCTTTGTATTCATCCGAGGTGCCAATTACTGAACTCATACAGGTACCTATACGGTACGTTCTTCTTCTCTGTTCTACGTATTCGTATCCTGGGGATATTTAAATAACTCACAACCGTTTTGGAAGAGATAAAAAAGTGAAAAACAATAACTTTCCACATCGCTTTAGGAAGATAAAGAATATATCGATATTAATTTATTTTTACGAGGCACCACACCACATAATGACTCGCCCTTTGGGCCTACCTTGTCTTACCATGTGTCATTTATCGTTCCAACCATGCAGGGACGGTCCGCAGATGTTTTGTCAAAGGGGGCGAATTTCCGAAAATTATTTTTTTCTGCAACCGACACAAAAGTCTTCCATTTTGATACCAACATTAGCTCTTAAATTGACGTTTCTATTACTGACATAAAAATAGGTAGGTTGCTAGGCAACATATTTAGTTCCTAGGAGCTAAAGTTGAATTTTAGTTCCTAGGAGCACAAGGAATCACCTCTTGAATTCTTTCGGTGTTATTTAGATACACCCTATATAACACTTACATAAGAAATGGGTACCAACTTCGTTATTTTCAATGGAACACCCAATATACTTTTCGAAAAAATTGAGGGGGGTTTTTCTTCCCTGGTAGGAAGAGGTTGACAGGTGGTTGAAAATGTTCATGTGAAAAAATAGATTTTCAAGAATAAAAATCGACCTGTCTAAAGAATTCTCAAAATATATTTCAATGTGGGAGACCACTAATTTTTTAAAATGACATTATCGTGAACTCTATACTGAAAAACTACCAGCGAATTAATTTTGAATTTTGTCATTCATGCTAAGACGATGAAAATAATAAATTAGAATATGTCCATTTCAAAACACACAATTCCTGCGCCATTTGAAATTTTGTCAATTCATTGGTGTGACTGGTGCGACGTCTTATTCCCAACACGCCTATTGTCCTTGAACTGACCAATCACACTGCAACACTGCAGAATGACGAGATATCAGAGAGAGATAACTACAGTTCGGGACTAATACGTCACGACTCCACCATCATATTTGGCTGTTTGAAATATCGAATGAAATATGCTGATTTCAAAACGATATAGATTCGATTCCCTTCAACTTTAAATCATAATATTGATTATACATCAAACGTAAATCATGATTCGTCGATTGTAAGAGGTTTGCACGGATTTCTTCTCTCAGTGGTCTTCCCCATTATGGAGATAGGGATTTTATTCCATAATAGGTTTCCACACTGTATAGGAGGGGTTGAATGTACCTTCCTTATGCCCCTAGATTGGCGCTCGTTGAGCTATAACCCAAATCAGGTTGCTTGAAAAAACAATCGAATGAGCTTGAGTTTTTTACTCACACCGAAATGAAAAGATAGCAATCGCTATTTGTGAGTGAAAAATGGAGGTCTAGATTCGATGCTCGCAAAACTGATATTGTTTTAAAGATGTATTGTTTGGCACAAGGCTGCCGCCGATTTTGACAACAATAATTTAGCAAAATATTATCGATCGATCGAGACCTGAAAGAATTCATTCTGTTCTCGTTTTCACGTTTAGTTTACTCAGTATCAAAATTTCGACATACTCAGACTCCTCCTGGAATAGGTATTAGGTAAAATAACGAACTAAACTGCTCCACATTTGAAGTGAGACAAGCGAACATTTTGTTTGTTTTCGAACCGTGATAACTTTGGATGAGATCAACCGATCTTTGATTAGTTTTGAGATTGTGATTGCCCAGTTGATTGGCTATAACATATTTTATTTACGTTTCTCCACCATTTCGGAATTATGACCTACAGGATGATATCTGAAAGTGGAAATAAAACGAATTTTGAAAACTGATATATTTTGACAACTGAAAAGTAACAAATAATATATTTAATTCGTTTTGAAATGTCTCAAGAGATGATTTCATTCACGGAACATAACATAGCATAAATAAACATAAGTTACATAACAAATAATTCACAAATAGTAATATTCATACAAAATTAACAGTGACTCATTAACATATGAGGTTCAGGTAATACTTTGAAAATAACACATGGAGGGGCGATGATATCACAGTGAAAATCATTAAGAAAATATTACTTTTCTCGCTTTCTGCTGAGTAAATTCTATGATGGGTACGTCAACATCAATTGTTTTTAATAATTCAGATTCGATGGATATTGATGCAAAGTCAATCAATTTTTTCTGGCTCATTTTAGACCTCAAATGGAAAGGGCAACAAAGTCACACTTACGTGGGTTCCAGGGCATGAAGGAATCAAAGGAAATGAGGCAGCTGATCGCCTTGCAAAAAAAGGTGCAGCATCTGCACTTTTTGGTCCTGAGCCTTTTTGTAGGATAAGCAAATGTCACCTAGAGGGAGAACTCAGGAAATGGGAAGAAATTGAGAAGTCCTCCTACTGGAGAGCAACTCCAGGTCAACGACAAGGTTCATCAACCATTCGCAGAGCCGAGCCAAAGAGCTACTCAGCCTCAGCAAACCAGAGCTAAAGCTTATCACAGGCTTTCTCACAGGACACGGCCCTCTGAGGTACCACCTCAAAAAGATGGGCCTGGCGGAGACTGACACTTGCCGCTTTTGTAACAATGCGACCGAAACCGCGGAACACATACTTTGCTCATGTGAAGTATTAGTCCGCCAAAGGCTGAACCACCTAGAACAGGTCTATCTCACCTCTGCTGAAGTGGAAAATTCAACCGTCAGGAAAATCGTAGGCTTCATCAGAAGTCTAGGGTTAGAGGACCAAAACTAGATAGGGGTATTCACAATAGATCTTCTAGATCGCAGTGATCGAGAGGTCTCCCAGCCTATACGACCCATCTACAATCTACAATCTACAATCCCTTGTGTAATTTCTGTATCAAGCTTAATTTTTGAGGAAACAATAAGACTTTGACTTTAGATTTTGATTTAGGCGTGTTTTCAAGACTTCCATTGAGATTACTCAATAACCCCGATTAGAATCATTTTGAAATTTTGGGGCTTTCTCAGGCTCCAACCATACTGAATTTTGGCACCATGAAAGCATATACAGGGGGATTATTTATATATGAAAAACTAATACATATACACCCTGTATAGAATCTACAGGCTTCAGTTGTGGTGGCGTTGAATTCAACCAAGCTGATGTCTGTTTCCCAGAATGAGTGGGTGAATGAAAATACTAAGAAATTAATATGAACATGAAACATGAATTACCTACTCAGAAAAATGGATGAATGGATTATGAGTGTACGATTTTTTTCTCAATTCCAGACTGGATATATTCGAACGCATGACAGCAGCTACTACATAGAACCTGCAGAGACATTCACCACTGGCAGCTTGATCCATCGCATGAAAAGATTACCCCATCCCACGAAAGATTCCAATGATGTGAATGCGGGATCAATGGAGTTTTATGAAAACAGTGGTAAGTCTGAATTTAGCCTACTATGTACTTATTTACCTAACGTGTGGAAATTATTTAGAATTTCCACAAAACAATCTCTTCTTTCATATATTGGCCTTGACTTGTTATTTTGCACCCCATAATGGGCGTGTACACCTTAGTAGAACTTTTAACTCAAACCATGTTTATAATGATCCTTTTATACATAAATAATGATTGACGACATAATCCGATCGAAAAATTTACTGGAATGTTTTATTTTTGGACATAAATAATAGTACCTTCTGAAAACGGACCCTCTTATGACGTAGAAACCTCATCTCGCCATAGTTAAAAGAAAATACCAAACGCCCGACGGAGACTGCGGCAACTGATATATTAATTCTTTCAACTGTGATCTCGCGCTAATTCACTCTGTCAGAAATCATGTATCATTCATCTCTGCCTGGAATAGTCTTGTTTCAGTATTAGGGTTTTGACGTCACATCATCGCCTCGTTTTCAGAGGTCCGAAAAATCGGGGATTTCAATGATTTTTTATAAAACGTAGGAATGGGGATCATCCAAAATCGGGCATATATATCAAGCCATTATTGTATCTGTATAAGCAGAAACTCCATCTTTGGACAATGGTGACAAAAAAAGTTGTCAATAACTTTCGCTGCTGCAACTGTCTTGTCTTTTCGGCAGTCGAAATTCGAAACGACATCGATTACCATTTGTTATAAGGAAACGCCAGAAACCATAAGGAAAGACGAGTTACAAATCGAGATGATCGGTTACGAAAAGCTTCTACGTGACTGCATTTTTAAGTGTGTATAACTGTACATTTCAGACAGTGGTGTGCACAAAAAATCCAAGAATTACCAATATCACTTTTCTACCCTTTACATCGAAAATCGAGACTTATCGAGGTTTAGATAGTGAGGATTTGGTCACATTTGGTGAACATTTTTTGTTATAGAAACTATAGTTGATTGAGATTCACTGTGCCCAACATAAGCCTGTCAGGAGTGACCATACCCTTGAATAAATCCATTTCGATGCTTGGTATTACTATCAGCAATAACCCTTCTTGGGAAAATCACGTGAGATCAATTGCTAAAAGTGCATCCCAAAAACTTGGTTTTCTGTTTCGGGCCAGTAGCTATTTCACTTCCAGTCAGTTTTATGATCATAAGGCACAGATCCGACCTGTCCTGAAATACCGTTTCCATATTTGGAGTGCATCACCCAAACATACCCTGAAACTGTTGGATTCTGTGCAAAAAAGGGCGATTCGTCTCATTGGTGATGCCTCGCTCACAAACTCACACACCGTAGACAAGTTAGCGATCTGGCCCTATTTTATAGATATTTTCATGGACGATGCTCTTCTGAAATATCAACAATTGTTCCTCCCATGGCAGTCCCGCGAGATTAACCCGTTGAGTTGAGGCTTCGCACCCTTTCGTGGTCACTTTTGAGACCTGCAGAGCATCTCTTTCTAAAGACTCGTTTATCCAACGAACAGCGAGGCTCTGGAACACATTACCAAGGGAGGTGTTCCCCAAGGCATATAACCTGCAGAAATTTAAGAAGAACACCAATTCCTACCTTATTTCCCTTGGTTCTCATGATGTTCTCTGAACATTACAGGATATCCCTTTTCGTGGGAACCAGAACATTAAAAAAAAGATTGCATTGAAAGTTATCCTTGGGCTGAGATATCATACAGGGTATTCCAGGTTGAACGTCATTAATTTTGATAGACGCTAGAACAACGGTAAAGAAATAGACTCTTGTGGAAAAACTTTGGTTAAAAAGGCTTCCTAACTTCCTAACTTTCCAACCCATCGACCGATTTCGATGAAATTTGCACAAAGCCTGATGTATTACATCTCTGAGTAGATAGTATGACTAAAATCGTTTGAATAAATTCATCAGTGGCGTAGATAATGAAGGTTAACATCTCATTCTCCCTCTCCTAATCTTTGTTGTATACATTTAACGAAAAAGATTTAATTATTGGATTTTTGTTCAATTCAAAGAAAAATACCTCTACAAATATTTGAATTACGGCTTTATCAATATAAGAAAGTTACAGGGTGAGAAATCTCGATCTATCCACTGGTTTTTTGTTTATCTTAAACTACTTAGGGAATAAACCGATAGCAAATATGTTACAAACCCTACAATGGCTACCAGTGAAAAAACTCTTCGAGTATCAAACACTAATTTTCATTTTTAAAATCAAAATTACATATTCACCTGTATATCTACAGAATGAATTATCATATGTGGCTGAAATACATGAATATAATACAAGAAACAGAAACAATATAAAAGTTCAAAAATATAAAAAAAATAGTACACATAATTCCTTATTTTATTAAGGAGTAGATTGTTTTAATGACCTCCCACAAGAAATTGAAGAGAGTGGTTCGATAAATACATTCAAAAGACGATTGAAGGATTATTTAATGAAAAATTAGTATATAATTATTACTTTTTTATGTACCTAGTTTTTATTTACACGTATGTATTTTTTATTCAGACTGATTGTATTTTTTCATGTTAATCTAAGTTTATTTATATGTGAATGTATTTACTATTGTGAATGAATTAGTTTTCCAACTAAATAAAGTGATATATATATAAAGTAGCATCATTTTCTCCAGATCCAGATGGAAATATTGATATTGATGCACTGGGGTCCATTGAAATGATTCGAACTGAAATATCAAATTCATCGTGTTAACCATGAAGGACAAGTTAATCAGTTACTAGTTTGATATTAATCAATGATTTTGCTTTTTGTTCTTCAGAATCGTCGAAACGCCATAAGCTATAACTCCGCCATGATTTTGTAGGAATTTTCTACACATTCCATCCCAAAATTCGTTACTATAATATAACCACTTGTGATACATCGTGGAATTCGAAAAAAAGCTGAATACAATTAAACGAATGAAATATCGATGCATTTGAAAAAAAAAACATTGCTTTTTTATACTTCGGGTATATGTATTATGTATTATACTCTCTCTACTCTAACATAAAATTTCCATTTTGCTAACGAAGTGAAACATTAATTGCCTTCAATAATGCAGAAAATCAAATTAACCGCGATCTTCTGCTGGCGTAACGACTTCTAAAACGATTCTGAGGATTTTTCCTTTTTCTTCGGATTCTTCGAGCTGTATATTCTTGTCACGCCTCTACAGCATCCATACCATTCTTCTCGTCGATAGACTATCGTGAAGAGGAGGTGCGCTTTCTTTATTTTTTGTCGAGAATGTTCAATAGAAATACGGCAGCTGAAAGTTTATTCCTACAACGATCGATAGGACCCCGCACTAAACTAAAGGGAATTTTTGGTATGTTCTGGAGACTAGAGTTCCTAAATGTTCTTGACACTGCTGTTTTGACGTTTTTTGCATCATGGGTTGCGTGCAAGAACTGTCAGATGACCGACACTGGAGGCAAAATATTGAAACACAACGTCACTTTACTTATTTGTTTACAAGTGATTGAAATAGTTTTTCACAATTATTTTGGCATACGAATCGTATTTTTCCGCTATTCATCAATTCGCTCATGCCATCACATTATGCTGTTGTGAAATGCACAAAAACTGCAGCGGAAGACGAAGTAATCCGGTTGGTACAATATGATTTGAAAGTAAGTACCTACTATAGTCACTCACATATAGTTTTCATTTTTGAAATTTGGTTATTTCTGTGATTTCTCATCGGAATTCCTTCTGCAATAAGAGCTAATGAAAATATACTCGAAATTTCTAGAATAATGCAAGAAGATTGGATTCATGCAATCAATCAGGAGGACTGGTCTGACATGCTGATGATCGTGTGTGGTGTAGACATTTTCAATCTATTAGCAGTATTGGCTTGTATTGCAGAAGTGGCAGAAGGCAGAAGGAATTTTAATAAGGAATGACAACATTTCATAATGATAACTATGTGAGATTACTATTTACCTGAAAAATCATATTCCCTAGTCTCTTGCTGCGTTTTTAGTGCATTGGACAACAGCACAATGCGAAGGCATGCTTGAATTAATGAATAACGCAAGAAACACGATTCGTATGCCAAAATATTGTGAAAAACTATTTCAACCTCTTGATTCCTCTGTAAACAAATGAAAAAGTGAGGTTGTGTTTCAATAATTCACAGAAGAGTGAGGTTGTGTTTCAATATTTTGCCTCCAGGGTCGGTCATCGTGAACGCGACCTATATTAGAGTACGGACACTAGACAAGCAGTGACAATCAAACATAACCACGAACGATTTTGAAGCAAATCATATGTTTTGCGAGACAAGGACAAGAATAGGTTTTTCGCTTAGATAAAGGATCCTCGCATCTTCCATCCTCCACAAGTCCTGGGATGAGTACATCCATATATATTTCTCTGTCTTTGATTTTTTATGAAAGGGCATAGCGACTCCTCGAGTGGGTGAAAGGGTGCGATAAATTGATTAGAAAATAATTTCTTCTCGAAATATTGAATGATAAGGCTGAAGGACCTCAATGGAGGTCGATATCAAGTTAGTAGGTACATAATATACATCAACGAAATACGTTCAGTTGAATATTTGTTTATCACAGAAGTTCAGAATTGGGTAAAAACTGATAAATTTCAAGAAACATGCTTCCAAGAATTCTTAAAGGTGCAATTATTTAAAAAATCAAGTTCAACGCCTATGGCAGAAAAGGGGTTTGAGTATGAAATTTGGATTGGGTAATGATTTACTACAAAAAAGTACCCTTGATAACACTCGATTTACTCTCATGGTTTTGAAAAAGTTTGTATTTTAATAATTATTGTTTATGATCTAAAATTACTAAAATGCAAATTTAAAACCATGAGAACAATCAAGTCCTATCAAGAGTACCTTTTTTAAAGTGAATGAGTTGCGCAATCTAAATTTCATACTCAAACTCCTTTTCTTTCATTGGCGTAGAATTTTTAAAGGTGCAATTATTTAAAAAAAACAAGTTCTACGCCTATGTATTATTATC